CAACGTATTAGTACGAAGTTATGCTCGTATATTTGACGCCGCAGAAGCTCGTGAAATCACACAGCCGATTTCTTCCAATGGAAAATCAATAGAGTATAATCATCTTGTCTTATCCCATATCATCTGATATTTTCCTTAGGAGCCACAAAAAACGAGCTTGATTTTTTTTTGTTAAAGAGAGAAATCTTAATAATAGTCTGCTGTCCTTTCAATTCCCCCCCCCAAAAAAAAAAAATTAATTTAAACACAGCACACTTTCCATTCCACATGTCTCCTTTAATTGAATAAAATTGCTGTTTCAAATTCAACTGCAAGCTAATTCACTCTTTGACTAAAACTTGCTCCTCTCTAGAAATAGAAATAAATCAAAGGTCTATCACAAATTTTACAATAGGTTCAGTTAGAATGGTACACCACACCTGCAGGCAGCGACTTACATTGGTCATCATGCCTCCCGCACTCTCTACATCTTCCGTCATGTGAAACACCCTGAGAGCAACCCCAGTGCCAACTATTTCCACAATTTTTGCTGCAGAAGAGAAAGGAAAACCATTAATCTTGTGAATGCATGCAATTCAACAACGACAACTTCTAAAACAACAACACATTAGAACCATAGAAAGAAGAAGAAGAGCTGTCTAAAATAAAGAATGGCATACAGGTATGAAGAGGATTTAGCCAAAGGGGATACAATTATCCTTTTTTAAGTTCATTGGTAAGACAAGCCCTAACATCGAATTAAGCAGAGGGTAAAATTATAACATTAAGAGTGGTATAATAAGATTTTCTAGATCTCTTTATCTTATCTTTAATTCTATTCTCGCCTTAAAGATGTAACTACTGCCCCAACTCATTACAGGCCAATCTTACCAACAAATGTTATATGTTCCGGGCAACCCTATAACCTTTATTTCAGTGGAATATATGTGAGACTACTTCTTAACCCATCAAAGTCTTAGTAAGTTTTAGTAAGCGTTTTACAGCACTTGCGACACAATTAGGTCATGTAAAAGCCTGATATTAAAGGTGTTACAAGACAGTAATAACCAAAAAAAAATACGGGGGGAGGGGGGGGAGGGAAGATAAAGACAAAACATGTTTGACTTGAGAGACAAAAGAATGAGCAAACCAAATCAGAGTACCCGCCAACCATCCCCTCATTAAGTCTGCTTCAGTTTCTCAGGTGAATTTCGATGAAGATAAAGAAGAAGGAAGATCTTCATTCTATATTAAATTATTGGAATTTCTATTGGAAAGAATTGAGAAGTAACAGAATTTACTTTTTCTTATACAGGAAAATGATAAAACTTGTTAGTTAGAAAACCAAATCAAATAACCATAATAGAGAGGATTGTCTCTTGTGAAAAGAAGAAACACATTTTGTTCACATACAAATTGAGCAGAAATTAATACAAGCTGCTCAATGTACATAATTTCTAGTGACCTCCCACTCTTCATAAAATTAAAATTTTATAATACATCTTCATACTAACAGTACTGAAATAATATATAATCTGAACGCCTTATCAGGTAGAAGCAAATTTTAGTACAAGCATAATAAAACCAGAAAAGTATAATACTTACTGAAGAGGTCAACGTTTTCTTCTTTCAAGGCTTCAGTGATCGCCCTGACTACCTCAGTTCCTTCACTCTCTTCAGTGACTCCAAGGTCTCTTGCCTTGTGTTTGTTATATGACCGTCTTCCAAGTCTTTCTTTGGCATTTCTTTTCCGTTTACGATTTTCATGCCTCTTAACCTCTCTTTCTAAATCAACAACACCACCAAAAATGTCCTCTTTGGAACTGTCTACATCCTGAGACTCTAAATTGATTTCTGGTCTGTCGTCTTCAAGAGCTTTCAAATAATCATAACTTTCAACATCACGGGTCTCCATGGATACGTCTGGCTTGTCCACACCAAAGCCCTTGATGTCTTGAGACAGAACCTGCTCTGTTAACACTGAGCCCCAAATACTATTTTTCCTTTTCTTTTGCCCACAACCAAAACTGACAGAGCCTACTGATTCACTTGCTAATAAAGGATTCACAAACGGTTGAGTGGAATCTGTGTGTCCAGAGTCTATTGGATTCTTGTGAAAGGCAGAAGCTGGATTTCTAGATCTTTTCATCACTGAAGGATAGTCATCATCGCTATCACCACTGTCATCTGAATTGATCACAATCTGAGGTATCCTTGATCGGTATGCAGTATCCATGCCCAATGCCTTGATTGGCACTGTGGGAGCAGATGCAGTTGCCATATCATCAATATCACAATCATTCTGAAAGAGAAGAAAGGTTTCAATTAAAAATTATGTACAGGAGAATATGGAGTGGTGAAGAGGAAGACATTCATGGAGAAATGGTAAAAGATTATGCCTTTCCTCCACACACCTTAAACCTAGTGCACGTTGAATTGCCATTTCACACAGCGGAGTAATTTAACCCTAAAACTGTTGCGGGCCATTTAGACCGGCTCTTCCAGCAGCTCTCTGCTGTTGCTCACAAGTAATCCATTTTGATTATAATGCTATTTTACGCGAAAACATGTTCCAAAAAAAGCTGAACTTTCCTATTGAAAAATAGCTTTTGGAATGGTGTTTGAGATCGATTTTCTATCATCTCCTAAACGCTGTGTTGAAAATATTTGTTTGAAGGTCTGAACACACACATCGTGAGTCAATGTCTGATTCTGTTGCAGGTTCTTCTGAACTTTCTAAAAACACAAATAAGTTTGACATGTTTTAAGGGGATATGAGTGATGAAGAAAACAACTTTGGTCATACGAGTTTAGATGATTTTGGTTGTAGTAGTGAAGAAGAGGCTGCCAATGTTGATAGGCCACCTCTATTCTCACCCCGGGTGAGAATAGCACAGGCCAGTCTTTTGGCTATTCTCACCCGGTGTGCGTTCACTGTATAGCCTAGAACTAGGCCAACCAATTTTGCGTTCACCCTGAACCACAGAATTCTACTTTGTGATAATAGAAAAATTGTAGAATTCTGTGCCGTGAACAAACGTTCCATTACTACTGTTAGCCTAAAACTAAAAGCGTACAATTTTGTCTGTGGGCACTGGAGAGAGAGAGAGAGAAAGAGAGAGAGAGAGAGGAGTAGCGCGAGAACTTCCGGGCAAAACAAAATGGCGACCCGCGTAGTTCGGTTCGATTCGAAAAGTGAAATAGCCGTAGCATCTTTGTAGACGACCAAATTAATTTACTTTTGTGTTTTAACATCTTTTAAAAATTTCGTTTTGGTCAATTTGATCGTCCACACCGATAGAGACAGTATTCAGAAAGAGACAGAGAGAGAGAAGAGGGGAGGTGTAGATCTTGCAAGAACTTCCAGGCAAAACAAAATGGCGACCCGTATAGTTCGGCTCGATTCGAAAAGTGAAATAGCCATAGCATCTTTGTAGACGATCAAATAGCTTACTTTATTGTGCTATAACGTAATTTTTTCTTGGCCGACACTATTTCTCCGAACGTTCAGGAAAATAAAGCTAGGCACTATTTCTCAGAACGTTCGGGAAAATAAAGCTGGGCACTATTTCTCCTAACACTCTGAAATCACACCCTTTCCCGCAAATTTCGGATATTATATAGAGAGTATAGGCCTACCAAAGATTGTCCGTATACAATATGGTTCAATCGGTCCAAAAAAGTCAGCAGTAAATATTTATTAAGAAATGCTACCGTTCCAAACAGTTTTTCGCTACAGATATGACGTGTTGCCTGTGAAGGGTGCTGCTCTTAAACTTAATGTGTTATGTTCACTCGTGTGCTGTCTAGATCTAGATCTACGGAGGGTTATTGATAACGACACATAGAACTAGCTTCTGCGTTTGTCGCGGCCGCGACCTATCAATCATGGCTCGATTTTTTGGTCATTTTTTGGTCTGGGAATAAAAGTCAAATTTTAAAAAAAAAGAAAAAAAAGAAAGAAACCGAAACCTCTTTACTTTTGAAAGAAAGTTCACTTAGCTTCACTTAGTCTCTTTCTCACTTGTTGTCACCACGTTGATTTGTTGAATACGTTACAGTTACTTTTATTTTCCCTCTTTGACTCTTTGTGGCGTTTTATTTTGTTAGTGTGTAATTTTTTTTCCTTGTTACTGTTCTGATGTGTTGTTTTTCTACCATTTTTTGTGGGGAAAGGAGGGGGGGGGGGGATGTTGCATAGTGTAATGTCATTTAATTTGATGTTCCTTCCTTCATTAAATTCTAAATATATATACATGTATATATATAGATTTAAATGTTTTATGTTAGAGCGTACGTTCCACCAAAACCAATTACATGTACTGACACTGGCAGGCCCCTTAAAGTGTGTGATTTCATAATTTACATGTAATATCCTGTACTTTAAAAAAAAAATTTACGCACTTTTAGGGTTAGAACAGGCAATTTTTTTCAGACAGGTTGACACACACCCTTATTTGTTTATTTTTGTGGTTGTTTATGGGCTGTTCGACTAATTTTGATTTCATTCTGTTGTGAAACCTTTCTTTTTCACGTTTTTACACTCATCTAAACATCTAAAAATCTCTAGACTAGCTCTTGAAAATTGAAATAGATATAGACCCAAAAATGTGCTCCTGTGTGTGTGTGTGTGTGTGTGTGTGTGTGTATGTGTGTCTGTGTGTCTATTCATGTGCGTGTGTGAGTGTGTCTGTGTGTGGTAGTAAGTGGGTAAGTGGAGAGTGAGGAGTGTGTGTGTTTTTCGGGCTTTATTTCAGCCTTTATTCAGCAACAGTTAAAAGTATACAAGAATAGAAACTTTACACAGGATCTATTCACTCCAAGGCTCATGAGTCGTTCCTCTCTTTCAGTTTCACTCATTCGTTCAATTCCTGTGTTCTCTCCCGCGGCTCATCCCCGTCCTCATGACTTTCACACCCCACCCCCTCCCTCCCTCCAGGCACACACAAAGAAAATCTCACTATTCTCAATCATTCCCTTGCATCCTGCGAACCATGGGGGGGGGGTCGGTGTCGTCGTCTTGTAGTTGCTGTCGCCTGTGGATACACTCGTAAATTCTACCTTTCACCCGCTCTGTCACTCACACTGTCCCTCCATCCACAACTCAGCTCGTCATACGTTCAAAAGTTGCCCACTGATCATGTTTAGTTAGTGTGTGTATAAGTTTGTGTGCGTACATGTGCATGATGGTGGTGGGTGTGTGGTGGGTGTTACTGAAGGTTGTATACACATGTAGGCGGGCTTGCCATGCGGTGTTCCTTCCCAGACCAGAGGCAGAATGAAAGTTGGCGCCGAACTCTCGCAATAAATAGGCAAAAAATCACGAGACCGGAAGCCGGAAACCGTTCGGAGAAAATAGTCACTTCGTTTTTTCTTTGCTTTTATCCATTTGATCACCCACACCGCTAGAAAGTATTCCGAAATTAGGAAAAACTTAAACAGGTCTTGTTTCAAACCGGGTGAGACTTGCCATCCTTGGCTATTCTCACCCGGTGTGAAACAAGACCTGTTTTTCCTAATTTCGGAATACTTTCTATCAGTGTGGGTGATCAATGGATAAAAGCAAAGAAAAAATTACGTTATAGCACAATAAGTAAGCTATTTGATCGTCTACAAAGATCCCAACGGTGGCAAGTCTCACCCGGGGTGAGAGGTCGATCGTATTTTTATTCTCACCCCGGGTGAGAATACCGACTTCCACTTCCATGTTGATATAATATGAATGAACTTGAGTGGCAGTGGTGACCTGTTGAGGTTGAAAGTGAAGCAGGGAAGTCTTGCAATAATCTTGAAACTACTCTTAGGCCTAGAAAGACTTGCAAGAATACTACAAAGGAACTGTAGATCCAGGTGATTTCTTTCATTTGATTTTTTATGAGAAACTTTTTTTGAAAAGCGGCAAAAGCCTCAAAAAAAGGATTGATGATAGGCCACCTCTATTCTCACCCGGAGTGAGAATAATGCAGGCGAGTCTTGTGGCTATTCTCACCCGGTGCGCGTTCACCAAATTTTGCGTTCACCCTAAACCACAGAATTCTACACTGTGATAACAAAAAAATTGTATAATTCTGTGCCGTGAACAAACGTTCCATTACAACTGTAGCCTACTAAAAGTAAAAGCGTACAATTTTGTCTGTGGGCAGTGGAGAGAGAGAGAGAAAGAGAGAGAGGAGTAGCGCGAGAATTTCCCGGCAAAACAAAATGGCGACCCGCGTAGTTCGGCTCGATTCAAAAAGTTAAATAGCCGTAGCATCTTTGTAGACAACCAAATTAATTTACTTTTGTGTTTTAACATCATTTTTTAACTTTGTTTTGGTCAATTTGATCGTCCACACCGATAGACAGTATTCAGAAAGAGACAGAGAGAGAGAGAAGAGGGGAGGAGTTGATCTTGCGAGAACTTCCGGGCGGGTGAGAATAGCCACTTTCTTCTTGATGATACTCACACAAACGCTTTTATGCTGATACAATTTTAGGTCTAGATGCTCACCCGGGGTGAGAATAAAGACAGGTGCCTATTTTCCAAATATAATAGTGGCCCATGCCATAGCCCTACATGATACAAATTCCGTAAGTTGAGTAAGTAACAAAACGCAGGTTCAACGACAGTTGTGTAACAGTCAGGCCGCAAGTCAATGTGCAACAAAGTCAAAGTACAAAGTGTAGAATTACAAGTACAAGAACTATTAGTCATTAGGTCTTTTTCGTCTGCCACTAAACGCTGATAGTACAGTGTCATAAAAGAAGGACATCGCATTCAAGGCAAAACATTTCCCAACACCAACAAACCTGATTGTCATCAGAATCGCTGCATTCTCCCTCCTCAAGCTCAATGTCTCTCTCTTCTCTGACGGCAGCCATCATGATTGTTTATGAGGAACTCTTTTTCATTTAGAGTCGAATAATAATTATTTGCCGCTGAAATTTCATTTAGGCAAGTCGTTCAATGCGTTCGCTTTATTTTTTAAAATTATTTAATTTATTTTGAAAGAACTTGAATAATAAAATCGTCTATAACGTGTTCACTTTCGTCTGACTGCAGATAAAACAAAGTAAAATCAGATCACCCAATTTAATCTTCTCAGATCTATGCATACGGTTCTAAGTTGGATGACCAACATAATCTAAGGTTCCGACACGATTTCTTTGATGTTGGCATAAAGCAAGTAAAAAAAACAAAAACCCCCAAAAAACCCAGAGCATTTACAGCACACACTAAAAACATTATAAACATATTGACATATTTTCCTCGTCATCACGTTTTAACATTGGCCCTATACGTACTTTTCGAGATTCACACGGAGACGTCCAGACAGGCGAAGGACAAAATCTGCAAGCTTACACTGACTTGTGGGGCAGGGTGATGTCGCTGACTCAAAATGAACAAGTTGTAGACTAGGCTATTGAAAGTAATCTATTTTATGCCTAGTGATTTCGTGTATGCATCCAAATGGAAGTTTTTGATATAGGACCCAAATGGAGAAACATTTTTTTAATTACTGGGTGAAGATTTTCGGAGAGAAAAAAAATTCTGTTTGGTCGTTCATGGCTTGCATAAAAGTTATGCAAAATTCGTGGGCACAGGTAAATTAAAAATGAGCTAGCTTTTTTTAAACGCGGATAGACGAAAGTGAACAAACTACTGTATAGGCTTTTATCTATTCTACTCTCTGTGATTTGCCTTTGGGTCGACCGCCCCCCCCAAACCCCCCCCCAACAACAACCCCCCCCCCCAAAAACCCCCCCCCCCCTTGATTATGGCATTAGGGGGACACCCCCCCCTCCCTAAGTCCCAGTTCGTCTCAAAATTATGAAATTTGAGTTGTAGGCATCTTTAGCTTCCCCAGCCTCTCCTACAAGTATTTCATCGCATAAGAACCACCCAAAACTGCATCTTTTCCCCATACCGGGTATGTTCGTCACCACCATTTCCTCATAAAGTCAATATTTTCTATTTCTTTATCTTTATCTCTCAAAACGCAACTTTTCTCTATATAAAAAAAAAATAACTACACCATTTTTAAAAAATCCAATCTTCTTGATATTTTCACAGAATGAAGAGAAGATGTAGTACTACAAATTCGTTGGTTGAAATTTTGATATGTGGAACAGATTTTTGTTGGCGGTGTCTGGAGTGTGGATTTTCACGGACTTTTTTTCAAACTTGAATGCTACCTCAGGAAAAAATTCATTAAAAGTTTTCTAATTCGTTTAGGAACAAAACAACAACAAAAATTTTAGATCTAAAGTTTTTTAACACGCATGCAAAAAACCGATCAATTTCCATAAGCAATAATTAGTGCGGTATTCATTACGTAAGACACGTTAACAAAATCCAATAAGGCCGCTGTGTCCATAGATAGAAACAATTTTTTCCCCTCAAATTTGATTGCAGATTTTAAGACTCCTTACTATGCTTGTTATACAAGGGAAATATCGTAAAACTTGGTCGATAAATAAGCGAGATAACCTTCAGGTGTAGCCCCCCCCCCTCCCGCCCTTAAAAAAAGAAATATCTGCATATAAATTAAATTTAAATTAAATAGCTTTGTTTGTGTTACAAAATGTCATTGTTTCACTATAATCTCTCGGTTCAAGATAGCAAAAGGTACGAGAACCCTCACTGAATTAAAACAACAACAGCAACAACAGCAGCAGCAACAACAACTACAACAACAACAACAGCAACAACAACAACAACAGCAACAACAACAACAACAAAAGAAACAAAAACAAAAGAACACTTATAGTAGTAGGCCTAAACAGTGAAGGAAGCAAGACTGCCTTGCTGCATGACAGTCATTCTTTAGCTAAATGCACCTATACAGAGTTAGTGGCCAGGTGTATATGTGTCCACAATATCTGTACTATTCTGTACAATGAGCATTCTTTCCAACAATCATGTATCGATATCCACTGAAGGGCCAGCTACAGCTCTCTCCAGGTCTGCATCAAGCTCAATAAGCTTCGGAATAATATTATAAGATATAACAATATAAATATTATGAGATTATGATAGTATAGCTTCGGAATAATATAATAAGATATAACAATATAAACATAATGAGATTATGATAGTATTATGTATAATAAGATATAATAATAAAATACGATAAAATATAATTTGAAGGTTTAACGAAAGTCGTTGCTGTTCACTGTTCACTCTTCACATTGCCGACACACATGAGTTGTGCTTCAGAAGTCGGAACATTTACTGTTATATATAAATTGTACCTGTTACTCATGTATTTGTGCTTTGTATGAGTGTGTGTGTGTGTGTGTGCGTGTGTGTGTGTGTGTGTGTGTGTGTGTGTGTGTGTGTGTCAGTGTGTGTGTGTGTGTGTGTGTGTGTGTGTGTGTGTGTGTGTGTGTGTGTGAGAGAGAGAGAGAGAGAGAGAGAGAGAGAGAGAGAGAGAGAGAGAGAGAGAGAGAGAGAGAGAGAGCATACGGGTTTTCTATTTTCATTGGGCCGCTGTCCTTTCCAATACAGTCCTATCTCTTTATTTGCCGCCCGACGACAGCATTGGCTGCGTACAATGATCATTATTGAATACATGTAGATACATGCTATTTAGACTTTTGCGCCACAATTTTGCCCTCGGCTTTCTATCAATCCTAAGCAGTCTTGGTAAAACCAGTCTCATTTCTTCATTGAATTGTTTCCCAATCACTGTCCAACACAGCTTAAATTGGAATGGCCAAGCTTCAAGTTTCAATGGTCTACACTAAATTTTGTTCCAGCGGCCGAAGACATAAAATCAATCATCCATCGTCTGTCAAGAGAAATGTGCGGATACAAGGATTTTTCAGAAAACCGAACCCCCCCCCCCCCCCCCCCCAATAATGAAAGAATAACAGAGAAGATAGGCTCAGACAGGAAGACATATTTCAATGGGCAGATATTTGTTATTTTTTGTTTTTGTAAAGTGTTTTACGGCGCTCGCAACTGCTCAAGGTCATATGAGCGCTCGGGACACACCTACTATTTTCAGTTGGTAGGAAATTTTTTAATTTTGCCCGGGTGGCGACCGAAGCCTACTCTTATCGATTTTAGACCACCAAGGGATCTTTAACGTGCACAACTTGCACACGGGCCCTCCGAGATTTTTCGTCCTTGTCCGAGAAGGCTAGGTGTAGATCTTTCCTACCAGAAGATCTGGAGTGTGGCTGAAAGACAGCAGTAAGCAGGAGTCAAGGAGTAGCAGTAGAAAGGCCGCAGAAAGAATCATGAGCCCAGAGGAAGGGGCAAAGGAGGTGAGGGGGTGGGGGCAGAGAGAGGAGACGAAAGCAGACGACAGAACATTGCTAGAGAGCAGGAAATGAGGTGAAAGGAGACAAATTTAGAGAAGAACATTTTTCGGTCACTACCCGGAATCGAACCCGGGACCTTTTGAATGAGAGGCCAACACCTTAACCTCTAGGCCACGAGAGCCCCCCCCCCCCCCTCCCGGGGCAGATATTTATATGAAAGGAGTGAACAGAAAGATAATAATGATAGATGATTTACGCCCCCTCCCTCCCCACCTCGATCGACAAAAATTAGAGCATTCAATTAAGAGGCGGGCTTCTGCAACCCTGATTGTCAAACATAAGCCCAGGCTGAGAGAACGCGATGTCCCAGCAGACAGACTGAGACACTCGATTAAAACACTCATCCCCACAGGGGAATCGAACTCACGTCTTATGCGTGCGTAGCACCAAACCACAAACGCCAGTGAAAAGAGATTGTAGGTCGCAGGCTCCCAGAAAGATAAGGAAGTAGGCCAACATGCTGGGTGATAGTTAAATAAATGTATAGGAAGGATAAAGAGCTTTAAATCAACAACACATTTATTCATGTTATATGTGAACACAGAGTAAGTTTATTTGTTCCATCAATACGTAATATGTCAAAGATGAGCAATAGGCAGGAGGTATATAATATGTAAAGAATTTCCCCAAAACGATAAGTCGGATAAGAGACAGAGACAATAACTTCACTTTGAACAACTGATGCTGTCGGTCCAACAGATATAAGTATAAGTTTGCATCTTGAAATTTCAACAATGTGGAATGATTTATCAGGCGAAAATGGAACACTGCATACAATGTAGTCTTTAAACAAACAACAAAAATCTTTGAAACGTTGAGAGGAGAGGAGACAACAGTGTATAATATCTGTACAATCTCCACAATCCGACAGACTAGTTTTTTTTCTCGGAATGTGTGGTTTGAAGTCCTGAGATAACAGCAACGGGGCATTGGAGTTGACACTGCGAATGATGAGTTTAAGTTTAAGCTCGCGAAAAAAGACTCTGCTCTGATGACAATAATACTACTTTTGACAGACAGTGCTTGTCTTTTAAGAAAAGCGCTAATGACTTGCAATTTCACATTAGAATTAATGAAGGGTTAATGATGCGCTCTATGACATGGTCTTTCGGAGACAGGCGAAAAAGGAGAAAGCTTTATAACAGTTAATTTTGATTCTAGTTGTAGGTGTTTGGGGCCAAAAATTTACGAGTACAATAAATATATTTTTGCTCACTTAAATGTTTCACTAATTCACAGGAACGATTCTGGCAGAGGATGCGATAGGTTTTGATACAACATCTATCGACACGTGTATTTACAAATTGAGCAAGTTTGCAGGCGTAAAGTAGTAAAATATTTACAAGCTTCAATTATGATGGTAGTTATGCCTACTTTGACAGTAGGCTAAATTTGTGCCTTTCGACCCACACTGCGAGACCTTGTGAGTTGACGAGACCATCCAAAAGTACGAGTGTGAACTGTCAGGACAGGTGGACTACAGTAGTGAAAATAATGATAAAGAAAATTAAAATGGGCAGTATACATCATCATCATCATCATCATCATCATCATCATCATCATC